AATGGAAAAAATGTGTCATTTGGTGGAGGCATTCCTCCCTTAGACACTAAAAACATTTAGCATTCCTCCCCTCCCTACAGTCATGGGGGCCAAGAAGCAAATAATTTTTGAGTGAGTCAAAAAGTTATTGTGAGAGGAGCCACTCTCCTACATCTAACCCCTTGGTTCTTAAACTATGTAGCACCCAGTTAAAGGAGAAACTGCACCCTGATTCAGAGCATTAGTGCATCCTGTAGATGGCTCTCTATATCACCAAGTGTTGAACACAGGGTACCTCGTCTGGGCCTTCTATAGGCCTTTCCACCATTTTAAAAGGCTGGCTAATAGAACACATGGTAAGACCAGTGAGTCCTGTGGGTGTCAGCTTAGTGTCTCACTTCTTCATTGCAAAGTGACTTCCATGATCAAAAACAATATTGCCTGGGATACCAAGGCAATATTAAGTCCACACGCGGAGGTTCTGGCGGAGGCATGAGAGGCAAGTAAAGCAAATCCAAATCCAGAGTAAGTGCCTCTTCTGGTGAGTCAAATTCCTGCCTCCATCAAGAGGGATACGGTCCTATGCAATTAATCTGCCACCAACTAGTTGGCTGGTGCCCTCAAGGTCTGATACCCAGTCAAGGGTTCAGGGCTGGTTGCTGCTGAGGACACACTGGGTGTCAGGAGTGGTGGTTCCCAGCTTGGCTTTGGTGAGGGAATGTCCTTGTTCTTCACCCCCATCATCATGGTCCTTTGTTCATGAACCCGTTGAACAAGTGGGGGCCCATGGCGAGCATTCATATGGCATACCTGCTGCCTCATGATCTAGGACCATTGTAGGGAATCCATCTTTTGAAAACCTCTTCATCGTGAACTTCTAATCTTTAACTCTGAGTTGCTCAAATCATTAGTCACTGTCTGGGAACTGGTATAGATCTTGACCTCAGGCCATCTTTCCTTCTAGGCAAAGTGGCCAATGAGATGTACTGCTTAGCTTACAATTCTGCCTGCAGATGTAATTAGCTAAGATGGCTTTTGTACTGGAGTGAACCCCTAACCCAATATGACTAATGTCCTTATAAAAAGGGGGAAATCTGAACACAGAGGTATATACAGGGAAAAAGCCATGCGGACATGAGGATGGCCACCTACACGCCAAGGAGAGAGGCCTGGCACAGATCCTTCCCTCATAGGAACAACACTGCCAACACCTTGATTTTGGACTTTTAGCCGCCAGGATTGTGTTAAGCTAGTTTGTGATACTTTGCTACAGCAGCCCTAACAGATGAATACACTTCCCATTAGAACTAAGTTCCCCGAGAGCAGTAACCTGGTTTGTCTTGGTTTGTCCCCTTCACAGCCACCCCAGAACGTGTCTGTGCCATTACTTAGCACCTTGTACCACTATTTAAGTGCTTCACTTGTATATATGAACCGTAAGGCCTTTCAAGGGAAAAAAGTGTTGCTAGGATTCAGTCAAAACCTGTTGAGTAGATTAAACCATTTTACTTATTTCCAGATTTGCTGCGGAGGCTGCACGGATAAGTCACAGCCCTTCCTTTCCGGGATGCCTTAGTATGCATGACGCGCCTTCAGCTCTCCGGACAAAGAGATCGATACTTCGCAGGTCCCACAGCTGGGGCTCAGGAGATCGAACGCAGCTCCAGCCTTTTACAAGCCCCGGTTCTTGCCCCTTTTGGCATCTCGGTACTTGTAGTTTTGTCCACTGTATCCTTCGCCGAAAAACCAACGCTGAGACCACAACTCCCATCAGCCCACGGGAACTGGAACCTTCAGAGCGCATCCTCCGGAGGGGGCGCCGGCGCCGTACACCAGCCCTCAGGCCGAAGGCCCGCCTTCCTGAGCCCAGGCCACCTATGATTGGTCGGCTGCCCCGTCTCTCAGCGGAGGGCGACAGGTGAATGAAAGGGGGGCGTGTCGGTGCGCGTAGCTCGGTGGCGGCGCTGCTGGAACCCACTGGAAGGTGAGAGCCGAGAAGCGGGTTCACGCTGCCGCTTTCATTGGCTTGGGCAGGATCCGGGGCACCCCGAAGGTCGGCCCTGGCCGGGGGTCAGCGGGCAGGGAAGCCCCATCTCGGTCGGCCTTCCTCCGACCGCCTGGCCCTGGCGACTCCCGGGATCTCCGCCGCGCAAACCCGCGCTGGTTATCGACCCACAACCAACCTCCCCCTCAGCGTGGGGAGGGGCGCCGCGGGGCAGTTGCCCCCCCTTCCTGGGCATTGGGCTGTCCCCCCGCGTGGTACACCCGGGTGGTCGGGGCGTGGGCTCCTCCGGATGTTGCGGGGGCGCGAGGCAGTGCCCAGCGCAGCGATGGTCACTTTGTCCGCGGAGGCCACGGGAGGGGCAAGGCCTTCGGAGCCAGAGCCAGAGTCCAGTAACTAGTTCCGGTCGTCTGGCTCCGGATAGGGAGGATCCCCTTGTCCTGTGAACAGTTTAGCAGGTGAACCGAGGATGCAATTGACCCTGAAATTCTTTCTGTGGAAATGGAAACTTCTTCCCTGTGGTTTCCCTTCCACTCCATGCGTTGGAGAAAGGAGCGACGTCCCCAACCCTTCTCATTGTGTCCAGGAAGGTTTGGGGAGTCGGGCTGGCAGAGTGGTTCAGGATATCAACTCTGAAATCAAACAGATCTCAGCTCCAAGCCTAGCTTTGGTCGTGTTATCTGTAAATCTGAAAGAGAAATGTTCTCTTCTGAAAAAGAGAATGGAATGATGTCCTTACTGCTTTGGGTTATTGTGAGGTTAAAATTAATTAATGTTTGTAAAGAACTTGTACATTGCTTCATGAGAAGTAGTGCTCAGTGAATACTAACAATTGATGAGCAGGTTCTCATGATCAGGTCAGTGAACCTGGAGTAGTCAGTGGTTGGAATTCAAGGCTGCTTTTGGTGCCTGAAGGAAGACAGTTCTGTGACCTGGCGAGGTGGGATCCCCTCAGGGGAATGTGGGAGTTTACTTCGGGTGATAATGTTGGCATCTGCCCTTTCCTGAAAGACAGGCATTATATAGGAGTACTACGTTTATTTTTCTATTTTTGGCATCTTCCTAGTATCAGGCATTGTCTGTAGCTAGTAACTGTTGAATTGAAATCGGAACAGTGGGAAGTTTGGGAAGGTCCTTGCCAGAGAGTGGATAAATTTACTTCTGAGAGCATTATGCCCTACGAGCTGCTTTTCTGGGAGAAGTGGTGATCCTCAGTATGTCGCAGGGATGCAGAGCACCAAAGGCAAGTAAGATTAATATGAATAAATATTTTCACGTTATATGTCAAATGCAGGATTGAGGAAAGGTTTGAAGAAAGAATGTGGATAGACTTGCAAAGTCAGGGAGTATTTGCAAGAGCCAGTAGAATTTAGAATATTTGCAGAGAGAAAGCCAAAGGAAATGGATTTGGGATACTGTTGTTGAAAAGGAGCATCTTCCAGTGAAAAAATAGAAGTACCCTGGGAGGAGCCCCTGTAAATAAGACCATTCTACAAGTTCAGAAGATTGTGCCTACTTTTATTTGGGAATAGTAGAATTTTTCAGATATCTGACAGTTCTCTTCCTTTCTGAACCAAAATGTTAATTTTAAATACTTTGGATGAAAATTTCCAAAATTATGACATAACTTCCTTGAGTTTAAAATAATGTAAAAAGATAGGAATCTTCTTGATTTCTTAGGCCCAACCATTATAGCTCTGGGCTATAATTTAGTGATGTCCTTAGGCCATTTTGAATAGGTAGGAGCCTGTAATACCCTTAGCTAAATGGCCTCAGGCTGATATTTTAAAAATTCCTGGGTCTAGTTTTTAGAACTGTTTTACCTTTTCCCATCTGTCAGTTCTCACTTTTAAGTTTGTCAGTTTACTTGCTTATAGAGGCTCCTCTCCACTTCTCTCCCTAATTGACTCTCTAGTTTCCAAACTTAATGCATCGCTTATACATATGTATAAAGTAGGTGTAAATTGCCCTTTAATAAGGTTGATGTGGGTCTTTTATGAGTAACGTCTGTGCAGTTAGTGTGTTAGGCCTTGGGGAATCTATTTTTGCTAGTGGAGGGACCCTTTTTCGGAGGGGAGAGTGCCTGACTTCTGGTTGGGTGAGGCATTGTTATGCTCCATTTGTAGAAAGGAAGAGTGCTAGAATTGTTACCTACGGTTGGCAGCTCTAACTAGGCCTTTTGCAATTTCAGTAAAGGGAGATGATGTACTAGGTTGTAAAAACTTCTTTGAGATCAATGGGTCAGTAAGTAAAAGGGGTACTGATGGATGGCTCTGTGGTTTGTGTGATGGGAAAAGATAGAGGAGAGAGGTTGGGGAAGAAGGTAACTCTTGCTTATATAACCTTCCAGAAAAAAATGTCATGTATATACCAACAAAGGCATGTACACAGATGGGATTTTAGCAGAAGGATTTTGAACTTGATTTAAATCTGTTCTACTTAGCAGTTAAGAGTATTCCATTGTATTTAGCAAACCTCCCTGTCCACAGCATTTTGCCAGGTGCTGTGGGGGATAGCAAATGAAATAAGACATGGATCATGCCTTCAAAGGACTTGCAGTCCACGGACAGACAAGGGCCAGGACATAGAAATACAGAGGAGTGAACCAAGGGTAGTATAGAGTCAATCAGTTAGGAGTCAGTTGCAAGAGATGGGAAACCCAACTCAGACCAGCTTAGCAAAAAGGGACATAATTGGCTTCTGGCACAGCAGAAGTTGGGGCTCAGATGGTGTCCCCCGGTCCATCTGTTGCTTCTGCCTGAGCTGGGCTATGTTAAGCTGGTTCCTCTATTGATGTGGTAGCAGCATCCCTCACATCCCTTCTGCCCACAGAGCTGAGAGTACCCTTTTGGAACGCCAGGTAAACATTTCATTGCTTTTCATTGGCTCTGACTAAGCCATGTGGCCATCTCTGAGCCAGTCACTGTGGTAAGAGAGTGGAGCCTGGTGTTGGCACCAGCTAGATGCAAAGCACATTGGCCAAGAATGGGGGAAGGGTGGTTCCAACCAAAGCAGAAAAGGACACTAAAGCCATAAGAAGGGTGAGTACATGCTGGCAAGCCCAAGAATCCACCAGTGTTTCCACAAGTGATGATAACAGATGTGAGCTGAGACTTGCCAGGCTCTAAGCTCTGTATCAGGAAGCTGTAGACTGAACTGTAGTTGTTAGATTTGGGTATTACCTATATTTTGAGCCTTGAAGAAAGTCAAATGTAGTGCATCAGAGCATGAATTCTGCAGGTTCACAGACGTGGTTTTGAGTCCTGGCTCTGTTACAGCTGGGTCATCTCCTATCTTCTTCGAGTCTCACTATTATTGGGAAAATGGGGACAATATTGATGTTTTATCAAAGGGTTTTTATAAAAATTCACTGAAAGAATCAAACACTGTGTACTGGGCCACATGCATTTAGCTCTAGTTATTTTTGTTGTTTTTCATAAATTAACCCAGTTGGACAATCTCTGATTTTTGTTAGATCCCAAACAGCCCACATCATAACCCTCCCACTACTGAACCAGCGTTTGGGAAGAATTTATAAATATATATTAAAAATGAACATCTTATTTGTAAGGTTGGGATTTGTGAATTAACTTTAAAAAAAATCTTGGCAGAGATACAGGCTACTCCAGAGCAGCAGCAGCTGGTGAAGAAATGGAGGTGCAATCCTATTATGCCAAGCTCTTGGGGGAGTTGAATGAACAGCGAAAGAGGGACTTTTTCTGTGACTGTAGCATCATTGTGGAAGGGCGGATCTTCAAGGCCCATAGGAATATTTTGTTTGCCAACAGCGGCTACTTCCGAGCACTACTCATTCACTATATCCAGGACAGCGGGCGGCACAGCACTGCCTCCTTGGACATTGTCACCTCCGATGCCTTTTCCATCATCTTAGATTTCCTGTATTCTGGGAAGTTGGATTTGTGTGGGGAGAACGTGATTGAAGTTATGTCGGCCGCCAGCTACCTGCAGATGAACGACGTGGTGAACTTCTGCAAGACGTACATCAGGTCATCCCTTGATATCTGCCGAAAGATGGAGAAGGAAGCTGCTGTTGCTGCAGCGGTGGCAGCGGCAGCTGCAGCTGCAGCAGCAGCTCATCAGGTTGATAATGGAAGCCCCAGTTCAGGCAGGGAAGGGGCCTCCTGTGATACTAAGAGCTTGGTCTCCTCTCCAGCTGAGGAAGAAGAGAGTGTGGACTGTCCAAGAGAGTCCCCTTGCGGTGACTGCAGAGGCTGCCACCCTCCGGAACTGGTGGTGAAAGACAGCCAGGGCAGTGGCTCAGCTGACAGTGACCTCTCCACTCTGCCCAAACAGATAGAGCCTAAGGTGGAGTTTGATGCCGACGAAGTGGAAGTGGAGGTTGGTGAGCAGCTACAGCAGTGTGCTGCCCCACTGAGCCTGCCCCACATTGAGGAGGGTTTGCCCAGTGGCCAGCCTGTGGACTTGGCTTACAGTAACTACCACGTGAAGCAATTCTTGGAGGCCCTCCTGCGCAACAGTGCTGTCCAGAGCAAAGATGATACGGATCATCACTTTTCTCGGAGTTTGGAAGGAAGACCAGATGGTGTAGGAGGAGCCATGAGTGCCATGAGTTCCATGATGGATGTCCAGAACGACTGGTATGGTGAGGACTCAGGTGAGCTCCATTTGCATTCATTGTTTCTGCTGGTCATTTAGCACCCGCATCTGTGCCTCATAGTCTCCCATCATCATTACCACCATCATTATCATCATTATCATTGCCACCACCATCACTATCACCACATTATTGCTGCCACCACCACAACCAATAGGTATTAATTGAGTAGGGCATTGTTTCTTTCTATATGTTAGTATTTTACCTCTCCAACTGGAGTATAAGCATGTTGAGGGCAGTTTGAAGACATAGAAAGAACCTACTGTCTTCCACTAACCAGCAGTGGGACTTTAGTTAAATCATTAAATCTCTCTGAACCTGTTTTGTTCAGGAGATATTCGTCCCTGTCTTTCCTTTTTCACAGGGTTGAGGATCAAATGAGAAGGTTTTTATATTTTTTTCTCACATATGATAATATGTTCTACACAGGTAGGAAATTTATTCTTTGTGTCAACCATGGTACCTGACACATAATAGACATTTGTTAATATGTCACAGTTGATGGTGTGATCTACTTGAGAATATTGTAGAGTTGGCGCTTGTCTTCATGTGAGTAAATTTCTATTTTTGACTGGCACCTGTATTCTTTTTTTTTTATTAAATAGTTTATTGATCTTTAGAGGGAGAGGAAGGGAGAGGGAGAAGAAAACATGGATGTGAGAGAGCAGCATTGATTGGCTGCTTCCTGCACGCCTCCTACCGGGCATCTAGCCTATCTAGCCTGCCACCCAGGCATGTGCCCTTGGCTGGGAATTGAACCTGCAACCTCCTGGTGCACGGATGATGCCCAACAAACTGAGCCACACCGGTCAGGGCTGGCACATGTATTCTTTATTAAATCTTACTAGTATTCTTTAAGGGACAAACACAGATGAGTAGGCTACAGTGAAGAAATCTTATCTTTTTATAAGAGAGTTAAGAAGCCACTAAGATACTTCCAGGTATTATCTTCAGTGATGCTTCTTATCTTTATTCTGGGAATCCAGATAATATTAAGCCCCTACAGCTACTGCAAATGCAGCAAACACCCATTTGAATCTTTTAATAATGCACCAACAGAGGAAACATTGTTTGCAAAGCCACCCATCTATCTCCAAGCTTCATTGCAGCTCCACGGATCCCTTGGCCCTCATACAGCCAGCCTTTCCTGTAAAGTTTCTAATGGTGTCCCTCCTGTCTTCCATTGTTTATAATCTGGAAGTTCCATTTTACTATGACCATGTTCCTGTCCATGGGCCATGTCTAATAGCAGTCTGATCTCTCAGGACATTCAATACTCAACCCTCCATGTGAGTAAATTTCTTATATGCTTTGGTAGACTTTTTTGTTTTCAGAGAACTTGTTTATATCCCTGAACAATTCTGAAAGATGAGTTAACTCTTCTTAACAGTGAGCTAATTGTGTTGTAAAGTGTCTTGTAGGAGATAGAAATAGACTTGGCTGTCACCTTCCTGATGAAAGTACACTATAGCTTCTAGAACCTAAAGCCAAGAAATTAATGAATCAAAATTCTTATACATCCTTCAATATGGAACAGTGAAAGTATTTTAAATAAGGGAGATCAGCTGCTTTTATTTATTACTAAAGGGCTGTCTTTAGATTTTTTAAATTTCATTTTTTTGAAGCAAGAACACTGTGTATGTGTGATTAAAATTAGACTTGAAAAATTTGAAAATGCTGTTTCTGGTCCTCAGAGACACTGTCTTAACCAGCATTTGGAAGGTAGCAGCTGTTTTCAGTGATCATACTATGGGAACTTGTTGAAATCTCATTTCTATGTATATAATAGCACTTCACAGACTGCGATCACTCTTTCACATGATGAGAACCCTCATCATGCCTGTGAATTTGGCAGAGGAAGTGTAGAGAAACAGACTCAGAAGGGTTTAGTGAGTTTCCTGAGAATGCAGAGCTGGTAAGTGGCACAGCTAAAACTAGAAACCTGAGCTGGCTTCACTTTGCTCATTCAATGAACCGAGGGCAGGACAAGTGGATAGAGGATTTCAGTGCAATGATTTTATCTTTCAGCACCCCCTGCCTGTATGCACAAGTATCAAGAAGTCAGCTGTATGCCATCTTCATTCAAGTCCTGCCTATCTGTCTGTAAAGTCAGGTTTCTAACCACAGGGTGCCGTGGCAAGGCAGCCGCCCTGGCCCGTGGCCATGCCTGGTTTCCACCAGGTTTTGGCTCCATTTACACAGCTCCAGGCTGAACTTATTCCACGTGCCAAGGCACAGAGTAGGATTGATTCGTTTGGTTATTCATTTATTTGCTCAAATATTTGAGTACCTTCTTGGTGGAACTACAAGCATAAGTCGGATGTGGATCCAGTGCTCCAGGAACTTCGAGGACATAAGATGTGTGTCATTGGCATCACATGGTTGAAAGGTACTAGGGCTGTAAGACAGATGGAGGTGTGAGTTTCACGTGTGTCCAAAAGCAGAACTGGCTTCCTACTGGGAGATGAGGGAGGCTTCATGAACGTGGCATCTAAGGCTAAGAAACAGAAACATAGGAAGAAATTGACTAGAGTCCGATCGTGGGAAAATGTCGAATGCTGAAAGATGAGGCTTTTATCTGTAGGCACAGGGGAGATTTGGGGTAGTTTCTGAGCTTGGGAGTAGACAGGATCTGTGCTTCAGGGAGCCTAATTTGGCCTCAGCACAAGATGTTGTGCAACTGGGAGACCAGGGCTGGGAGACCAGGGCAGGGAGATGGTCAGGAGGCTGTTGCGGTAGTTCTGTATCCATGTTGCTCATCCCAACGTTTGCAGACACTGTCAAAGCATAAGGTCCTGCTATAATCTCTCCTCCTCCGACCTCCTAACCCTAGCTCCATCATCTCCCATCACTTCTTGGAAAGTTCATCTACATTGGCTACCTCTACTGCTTTACTTCCCACCCTTTTTCTCAGCCCACTGCAGCTTGGCTTCTGCCCTTACACACCACTGAAACCTCTGTCATGAGGTCAGCTATGTGCATTTCTAGAGACAACGTAATGAGTGATTTTCAGGTGTTCTCTTACTTGACCTCTCTTGGCAGTGGACTCTGACCTTTCTCTCCCTGAAATTCTTTCTTCCCCTGGCTTCCAACACCATGAGTACTCATTGCTGTTACCTCTGCCCATTCCTTTTCAGCCTCATCATGGGTCATTTAATGTCACTGTGTCCAGCATTCCATCATTGGCTTGCTTCGTCAACACCTTATCTTTTCTGTTTGTTCTTCCATTCATTCAACAAATATTTATTGAGTACTTACTACATGCCAAGCACTGTTCATCACTGAGAACAAATGATAGTCCTTGTCCTCATGAAGCTGACACTCTAGTGTAGGAGACAGACAGGAAACAAGTAAGTTAATATGTAATATGAAGAACTAGAACAGGGGAAAGGTTGATAGAAGGTGTAGGGGATGGTATTTTATTTAGTGTTGACAAGGAAGCCCTTTCTAAGAAGTTGTTTTTGAGCAGACATCCCATGGTGGCAAAAGAGCAGACTGTCCAGATATCAGGGAGAAGGACTTTTCAGGCAGAGGGAAGAGCAAGGCACACAGGCCCAGGTGCAGGATCCCGTTTGGTGAGTGAACCAAAGGAACAGCTAGGATGCTGGTGTGGCTGGAGTAAAGTAAGCAAGGCAGAGAGTTTTAGAGGATGAGGTCAGAGAGTTCATGTGAGGGTAGACCAGGTAGAGTCTTGAAGGCCTTGAGAAGGCCTTAAGATATTACTCTGAGAAGGAAAGCCACGAGGGTGATTTGAAATGACATATATTAAAAGGATCCCCTTAGGTACTATGTGTAGTAACCTCCTAAGTGGTCCTCTTGCTTCCACCCTTGCTCTCTACCTATAGACTATAGGGCAGTAAGGGTGAAAGCAGGAGGATGACTTAGGAGGAGGTTACTGCAGTTACCCCAGGTGATCCTTAACTCAGTGTGGTAGCAGTAGAGAGGTAAGATGTGATTCGATTAGGACTATACTGTCTCTCAAAGGTAGAGCCAACTAGATTTTCCAGTGGTGTGCATGAGTGATGTGAGAAAAAGAGGAGTTAAGGATGACCCTAAGGTTTTTATCTTGAGCAATTGACTTAAACATGTTATGTTTATGATACCTATTGGATATCCAACTGGAGATGTTCAGTAAGCAATTGCATATGTACGTTTGGAGTTCTGGGGAGAAGTCAGAGCTGAGATGTAAACTTGGGAGTCATTAATGGCTCCATGGAATTTAAAACCTATCTATCCCATGAACTTACAGACCTAGAAGAAGATAAGAGATCTAAGGACTGACCCCTGGGGAGCTGCAACATTTTGAGGTCAGGACAATAGGGAGAAACCAGTAAAGGAGACTGAGAAGGGGCAGGCAGTGAGGTGGGAAGAGAATCGAGAAAGACTGATGGATGCCAAGAAGAGAAAGTCCTTCAGGAAATAGGAGAGCCCTGGCTGGGTGGCTTATTGGTTGAGCGTTGTCCCATGCACCAAAGGGTTGCCGGTTTGATTCCCAGCCAGGGCACATGCCCAGGTTGCAGGCCCAATCCGCGTGGGAGGCTGCCCATTGATGTTTCTCTCTCACACTGATGTTTGAAAGAAGAAAGAAAAAGAAAGAAATCCATTCTACCCTATGCCGTGTATAGGCAGATGGAGAACTGATCTTTGGGTTTAGCAATGGAGTCATTAGTGAGCTTGACAGAGGGCAGTGTCAGTGAAGTGGTGGGGCAAAAAACCTAAAGGAGTAGCCCTAAAAGAGAAGTACAGAAGTAACATGTGACAATAGTGAATATAGATGCTTATTTCAAGGAGTTTTACTGTGAAGGGAACGAAGAAATGCATCAGTCGCTGAAGGGGAATATGAAGTCAGTGTATTTTTTCTTCAGTGACATTAATTTGCCTTGTTTCAGGTATGGAATAGGCAGAGAGTTGTATGTAACCAGAGTCTAGGTTTAACCAAGTGAACACAGTAGAGGGAGAGAGAGGACCAAGGCCATTGAAGGTGTAGGGAAGGAGTGAGTTCATTCATGGATTATTGGCACTAAACTGGGCAGAGAGAGGAGTGAGGACTGAAGGAGGTGAAAGGCAGTAAGATGGCAGTAGAGTTCATGGCTTAGAAGTCCCAGCAGATAAAGGAACCCAGGGGGTGAACTGAAAAGATATGAGATAGTGATTGGGAAATGGGGTATTTGAACTGTACGTTATGGGGCAAACATAGTAGTGGCACTATCTAGGTATGGGGCTGTGAGTCTCATTGCTGACTGTACATTAGAATGGGAAGGGTGCTTTTAAAATAACCTTGGGATGGGGATTGGACATGTTTTTGTTTGTTTGTTTGTTTGTTTTGTTTTGTTTTTTAAGTTTCGCAGGGGATTCTGATATGTAGGCAGAGTTGAGAGCTCTTGGTCTAGAACTGGGTGGCTGACGTAGGGCGGAGGACAAGGTCTTTGGAGGAAAGGAGGTCAAGGAACAAAGAGACCAGAGTTTTGGCAGGATCATTTTTGGTATTCACACGAATTATGCCAGGAGTTCTGTTTGAAGGCAATGTGATCAAATCTCTAAGGAATGAGGAGATGACCTAGAGGATCCTGGATGACTATAATAAGGAACAGTTGCAGTGGTATTGTCTGACGGTATGAGCTTCAAAAGATCTTAGGGTTTTTGAGGATGGAAGAGGGACAGTGGTCTGGAGATGGTGGTGAAGCACAAAAGAGACCCTACCCACCTCCAACCCAGGGGTGTCAGGGATATGGGTTAAGGGAAGTAGAGTGCTCAAGAGAGAGGCAGGGCTCAGGTAAAGCAACCATTCCAATCTGCTGAGGACTCTCAAAACTGTGTTCTTCCCTTCTTTCCTAAGCTCCAGGTTTATCTCTCTAATCTCAAAGGGCATGCATAGAAGAAACAAACCTCAGAATGCTACAATAAGGGTAACTCATGTAATTTGAAAGGAACAGTTTCTATACCTGTGTCACCGTAATGTTTATATGAGCAAGGTAAACAAACAAACAAACAAACAAAAAGAGTTGGAAAGAGCCCGGCTGGTGTTGCTTGGTGGTTGAGAATCCACCTATGATGATCCAGGAGATCAAGATTTGCTTCCGGTCATGGCACTTGCCCAGTTGTGGGCTCAATCCCCAGCAGGGGGTCTGCAAGAGGCAGCTGATCAATGACTCTCTCATTATTGATGTTTCTCTCTCTCCCGCTCCCTTTCTCTCTCTGAAATCAATAAAAAATATATTTAAAAAAAAGAATTGGAAAGAGATTTAAGTGGACTCCTGGATATTTGATGACTTCAGATATATAGAGTTAATGTGAATTCCAAACAATTTAAGGTCTGCATCATAGAAAACCTCTTCTGTACATGTCTGGAAGCTTTTCTGAGGAGCTACTGTCAAATCTTGAATTCTAGTCCAGAGGTCTCAGTCATCATCACGATCTGTGCTGGTGGAATTCCCTAGCCCCAGATCCCATCCATTGGAGGGTTGGCCAGTGTTGTTGCTGCTTATAGTACAGCTAAATCGATCCATTTGGTTTCCTAGGTGATGTGCTGGTGGTCCCCATCAAGCTCCACAGGTGTCCTTTCTGCCCTTACACTGCCAAACAGAAGGGCATCCTTAAGCGACACATCCGCTCACACACAGGTGAGCGGCCCTACCCCTGTGAGACCTGTGGCAAGAGGTTCACTCGACAGGAGCACCTGCGGAGCCACGCCCTGAGCGTAAGTGAGCTGGCAGTTCTCTTGTGTGTGTGGGGTGGCTGCTGACATTTGTCCAATGAAGCAATTTTTAACTGGTGTGCTGCAAGAATTTTTAAAACATGCAATACCTGACTATTTAGTCAGGTGCACTGAATTCTTTCCCCTTAGGTTGTCAAATTAAAAAATGACAACAGCCAACACAACAATAGCTGTCCTGTGGGAATGAATTAAAATTATAGCTATATTTTTGTCATATCAGCAAATCAAAGCCATAATGAGATGCCACTTCATGCCCACTAGGATGACTGTCATCAAGAAATGGATAATAGCAAAGTGTTGGCCAGGATGTGGAGAAATTGGGACCCTTATACATTGCTGGTGGGACTGTAAAGTGGTGCAGCCGCTATAGAAAACAGTTTGGTGATTCCTCAAAAAGTTAAGCATAAAGTTACTATAGGACTCAACAGTTCTATTTGTAAGTATATAACCAAGAGAACTGAAAACATTCACAGAAAAACTTGCATACAAATTTTTATAGCAGTATTATTCATAATAGTAAACAAGTGGAAACAACACAAATGTCCATGAACTGATGAAGGAACAAACAAAAGGTATATCTAGACAATGGAATGTCACGCAGCCATAAAGTGGAATGCAGTTCTGATACACATTACAGCATGGATGAACCTTGAAAACATGCTAAGTGAAAGATGCCAGTCACCAAGGACCACATATTGTTTGATTCCATTTCTATGCAGTGTACCAAATGGGCAGACCTATGGACATCGAGAGTAGATTAGGGGTTACCAGGGGCTGGGGGGATGTGGGAATGGGAGAGGAATGACAGTGGGCACAGGGTTTCTTTATAGGGTGTTGAAAATGTGGAATTAGATGGTGGTGATGATAGTTGCACAACCTTGTGAATATACTAAAAACCACTGAATTGTACACTTTAAAAGGATAAATTTTATGGTATGAATTACAGTTCTGAAAGAATCAGATTTAAGATAAGTACAAGGTTACTGCCTCTGCTCTCAGTGCTGGCCCCAGCACACTTTTCTGAGAATGGCCTCCTCTCAAGGACTTAAATTTTTGTTTGTCTCCCCCCACCCCAATTTATAGCTAAAGTGTCTCTTGGCAGCAATAGGTCCCTGGGTACTTCTAAGATGTTTTATTGGTTGGAATTCTCCTTTTCTCTCTTTTTCCACATTATTCAAGCCCTGTCAGGTTGAGGGGTCATAAGATACATAGTCAGGTTGGCTCAAGTGTTGGGGTTTGGTGTAGGAAGCCCAGGAAATCTCACGGGAAGCAGGGACATTGGTCAGAATGTAATGGCAGCTCCAGCAGCCTAGGTATCATGTTGGCCTTTCTTCTTCTGCATCAACCTCTCTCTGTCTCTGCTGCTTGTATGTACCCTGTACCCAGAGCTCTTTAAAAGAGAGTCTCCATTTGGCTCACTGAGCCCCCATTGGCTGGAGTTCCTGAAGAGTGCACACATCTGAAAGATAGTTCTTCACACAGGGGCCCCCTGGGGCTGTGTGGGGTAGGAGGTCAAAAAAGGCAAGTCTGCCAGCATGACTGGGGAATACACTGCCTAGCAAATCTGCCTCCCTAATAACTAAACAATCCAAGGTACATAAGAAGCCATGCCTAACATCCTAACCTGTTCACTGAGTGCCCTTTATATGCCTGGCACTAGGGATATAATGACAAGTGTGACAGAGGACAGAGGACATGAATGAGGACAGCCCCTGCCCTCCTGGAGCTTACAGTTTAGTGAATTTTACCAACGATTTGTTAAAAATACAGTAGTCTCCCCTTATCGGCGGTTTATCTTTCCACAGTTTCAGTTACCCGTGGTCAACTGTGGTCCGAAAATATTAAAATGGAAAGTTCTATAAATAAACAATTTGTAAGTTTTAAATTGCATGCTGTTCTGAGTAGCGTGATAAAATCTTGTGCATCCTGCTCCATGCAGCCTAGGATGTGAATCACCCCTTTGGCGGTGTCTCCACGCTGTCTGTGCTTCCTGCCCATTAGTCACTTAGCAGCCGTCTTGTTATCAGGTTGGTGGTTGTGGTGTCACAGCGCTTGTATTCATGGTACCCTATTTTACTTAATAATGGCCCCAGAACACAAGAGTAGTGATTCCTCTCTTTGGATATGCCCAAAAAAAGCCATAAAGAGCTCCCTTTAGCCTCAGCTGGTTTTGCTCCGTGGTTAGAGCATCGGAAGGGTCAGGCTCGATTCTGGCCAAGGGCACAGACCTTGGTTGTGGGCTCTATCCCCGGCCCCGGTTGGGGGTGCGCGGGAGGCAACCAATTGATGTGTCTCTCTCACATCGATGTTTCTCTCTCTCTCTTTCCCCCTCCCTTCCACTCTCTCTGAAAAGCAATGGGAAAAAACATCCTGCGTGAGGATTTAAAAAAAAAAGACCTTCCTTTAAGTGAAAAAGTATGTATCCACAGGAAAAAACATAGTATATATAGGGTTCAGTACTATGTGCGGTTTCAGACATCCACTGGGGGCCTTGGAACATATTCCCCGCAGATAATGGGAGATGACTGTACAGTCAAGGAAGAAGTATAGGCGAGAATATACAGCGGGGAGACCTGACCTGGCCTGGAGCATCGGAGAAGACGTCCTTGAAAGGCATTAGGAAGGGGGGGTTGGCCGTGGGGAAGGGGGCACAGTCCATGATGCCCAGTGGCCCTGGGGTGGAGAGGACTGTGGCTGACGGAACAAGGGGAGAGTGGTGAAAATGAGGCTGGAGCATCAACCCAGGCGACGTCACATGGGGCCTTGAAGGCCATGGCTCAACCCCACTTCTGTGACACTTACTGTGTGTACTTGGGATTTTAGGTGCACAGATCCAACCGTCCAATCATCTGCAAGGGCTGCAGGAGAACCTTCACAAGCCACCTGTCGCAGGGGCTGAGGCGCTTCGGGCTGTGCGACAGCTGCACCTGCGTTTCAGACACACACGACGACGAGTACGATCTGATGCCCATCAACCTTAGCTTGGTGGAGGCTTCCTCCGAAAGCCAAGAGAAGAGTGACACAGACAATGACTGGCCGATCTATGTGGAGTCTGGTGAGGAAAACGACCCTGCTGGAGACGACTCTGACGACAGACCACAAATTCAGCCCAGCCTCATGGATCGAGAGACACTCATGTAGCAGTAAATTGGTGGGAAGAGATTTTAGAATTTGTTATTGCTCATTCTGTGGTTGAAAGACACCGTTTGTCCAATTTTGTGGAACCCTGAGAGGAACGTTTTTTTCACTGTTAATATATTTGCATTTTTGTTAGATCATCTTGTAGAGGTTGGGTTTTGTGACTCAAAGAACTAATGACTTTTCAGTTTGGTGCCCTTGGTTTCTGAGAGCTTTGCTGACCTTCCCTTCATTCCGAGTGGATCCAGGCTGGCCCTCAGGGTTCCCAGTTTTCCTGTTGTGCACCCAAACTCTGATTAGAAGGATAAGAAAACCCCCATGCTTGTTTTCATAGTGTCTTTCTCTGCATTTCTTTGTGGCCATCCTCTTTTCTCTGAAAAGGTAGGCAAGAATATATTAAGTTTTGAGATTAATCTTACCTCTGCCAAGCCTCTCCTAATGAATCCCATATCCTAATTTTCTGAAATATTTAAGAGAAAGCTTTACTGATACAAGGTAGGCAGGGCTGCCTTATACATGATTGTAAACGGTACTTTCGAAATCTAAGACTGCAATTTTAAGAGCTGGGGTGTTTATGTGCAGACAGACATGGAAATGAGCTCAGAGCCTTCTCATGGCACTTGGACTCACCCAGTTGAATTAAATTTTAAGTTAGCCCTGGGAAGGGACCCTGTGATCCCAGGTCAGGATGGTTTCCCTGCTTAATTTGGTATTTGATGATTCTATACACACAGTCTGTTTTGTGATCATGAAACAAGTCATTTGGGCAAAACTAAAAATTCTCCCCTGCTTTTTCAAGCCATTTCCAAAGACCACACTGCTATGTAACTTGGAAATGTAGCTACCACTGACATTCCTTTACTTAGTTTATGAATGGAACTTTAACTGGAAGGAAAATGTAAGCCTATATAAACAAGTTCTATTTCTAAATTGCTTACCTTTTGAAAGATTCCCCTGGAAGGAAAGAAGTTTCGTAGAAAAACAGGTTTTTACAACCAGTCTGCTTTTCACCCACTTAGCAGCCATACAGTTATTCTAACAAAAGGCTGTACTTATTTCAAGGGCTAAAGAGCAGGAAATATTAGGGATTTAAAATATTTAAGGCACTTTTATAATTTTGTCTTATGTTAAGGTATCCAAAATGGATTTTAAAAGAATAAAACAAAGTATGCAGACAAAACACAGTTTCCTTTGAAATTTGAAAAAAAAATTAAAAATCTCTTTTTCTTGACACCTTTAATTTTAGTATAGTTCTGTTTCAAAAGGTGGTAAAATCACTTTTTTCCTGCCTCTTGAACAAAAAAGATCATCAAAACATCGTAAATGCTAGTCATTGAGGAATTCAAAGGTATTTAAACTTATGTACTCAGTAGAAGTTAAATTCTAGCTAGTGCTGCTCAAACTGTGGCCCACACATAGGTGCTGGTCTATGAGTTGTTTGATACCAGCCCACACAGTAGGACCACATACTGGTCTGTGGTAGATTGGAAATTTAAAAGCTGGTCTTTTACCACAGATAGTTTGAAAATTATTGTTCTAGATCAAGAGTTACAAATGGCAACTTATTAAGAACCAGAAACATTTTTCTTAACCTGAAATGAAAATATTAGCTGTTGTTTTATAAGAGGGATCTCAGCAAAAGGCAAACCTAAATGGATGTGTAGAAGCTCTACTTTGCAAGGAGTTATGTTTGATGTTTTTGCTCTCTCTGTTTAAAGTATTTTTGATATTTTAATATGACTTTTCTACCTCACAGTATAACTTCTCTACCTACTTTTCTCTGGTAGAGCAAGGAGCCTCTTCAGTGACCCCATGACCTATTCATATCACTGGGTGTAAGGTAAAAAATTTCACATTAGAGATTTCATTGTAAGACAGTCATTCTCACCTGGGGGTGATTTTACCTCTCCAGGGAAGATTTAGCAATGTATGGAGACATTCTTAATTGTTACAACGGGGTCAGGGTGCTGCTAGCATCTAGTGGATAGAGGAAAGGATGCTGTTAACATCCTACAATTCATAGGATGGTCTCTTACAGTAAAGAATTATCTAGTCCAAAATGTTAGGAGTTCAAGGTTGTGAAACCCTGCTAAAAAGTAAGATTTTTTAAAAATGACTTTGAATGAGTGAACTTAATTTTGTGTTATATTTTAGGCTACCTTTTACCTTCTTATATTAATAGACACTGGCCTGGCCCATGTGGTTCGGTTGATTGGAGCGTCATCCTGTACACCAAAAGGTCACCTTTTCAATTGCCCATTAGGGCACATACCCAGGTTGCATGTTCGACCCCCTGTTGGGGTGCGTATGAGAGGCAACCAATTTATGTCACATCAAGGTTTTTCTCTCCCTTTCTCTCTCTAAAATCAAAAAATGAATCCTCAGGTGAGGATTACAAAAGGATAATAAAAAAAATTAATAGGTCCTTATGCTCCCACAAGTTTTGGAAAATAGTGGGTCAGTAAAATGGGGAGTGGAGGCCAAATTATTCACAACTTGCCCAAGATCTGATTGGGTCTATGATGCAGAAACTTAGAAATTCTGACTCTGATTCATACCCCCAGAACCACTTTAGGCTTTGATCATTTTATTAAATGTTAAAGTAGAGAATCATTGGAAGGAAAATGGAGCATGAAGCTTAATATTTAAATAATTCTCTTTTTTCCGTAATGTTTCAGATTGTTGCATTCCTGGTTGGCTGTTTAGAGTTTGTGTGTTGGCATTCGTAATAACTGAATCGCTGAATTCTATCACTTTTAAAGGATATCTTTGTCTGGACTCTCAGATCATAAACTGTTCTGTTTTAAATTTATGTTTGCATTTGGTGGTCAGTATTTATAATCTGCACAGTGTCTTTGAGGTTTAATTTGTGGAGTTGGTGATATTTTTATAATAAGTAAATTCACACTTGGGTCCAACATAGACCATTCGTGATTTAGGTTATATTCTGGCAACTTTCTGGCACATTCTGCCCAAGTTCACAAAGGGATACTTTTATCTTATATTAGATATATTGCATGAATGGGAACAGAATTTTTACTTATAATGGAATTTAAAAATGGCATCCTTGGGAAGTTGTTTCTCTTGGGGGAAGGGTACAGGCTTTCATAGCAAGGGTTGGGGAGGAATGTAAATAAGGCCTGTAATTGTAATAAGTTAAGAAATGACATAGAGCATCATGACTTCTGGTCATTTGGCAGAAAGATGCCATTCTGGTGTAAATATTTTGGTGACCATTAGACTTTGAATATTCCTTAAGAAAATGACTGACCTAGTGGTCTGCACAATGCTGTGGAATTGAGTATTCTGATGGTTCAGAATACTGTGATGGTTTTTTGTTATTGTTGTTGTTAATTGCTGTTGCAACAAACCCCATAGAAAGGCAACAAGGTAGGGTTACATGTACTGATTCTGAGGGCAGTGGGGGAGACTGGAGTGGCCTTTGGTCAACTGAATTCAGACTTTCACTTGGACTTCTAGGTTTTTTATTGTGTGTCTCTTGTGCATTGACAGTAGAATTATCTCTGTGAGGTCTAGTGTAACGGCATAGAGTGGGGCAAAGGGTTGGGTGGGTGTGAAATTACTATTACACTCTGTTTTGAGCATTACCGCTGTACTTCCTGTTGGTGGTGGTCTCTTATAGCTTGCCTTATGCTTTCAAGTGATCACACTATCTTCTAAAAACCCAAAAAAGGGAGCACTTTATCCAGTTGCTTCTGGTGGGCAGTGTTTTCATTCAGTATTTCCACAACATCCCCTATTACTATGTTCCTCCAATCTGCCATTATACTGCTGAAAATTTGAATTCTAGTCCTGGAATAATGCTTCTGTAGAGATAAATGAAAAGTTTTTTGTTTGGCAAGAATGGTTTGGTTGGTTTCTAACATGTCCTAGTTTTAAAAGGTGACACTAACTCACACCATTGTGATCAGATGATATAGAACCTAACTTAAGGAGGACGTTTAGCACCTGCTTTGACCCTCCTGGTAGATTATTTTACTACTGCCAATTCTTCATTGACAACTGTGATTTTCAAGAGCAGTTTTTATATCCATCATTTGAGTTTTGGACAAGGAGACGAACCACATCAGGCAAGTATGGGAGCTCTCCTGGCTAAAAAGCCTCTTATCCCACGGGAGCAAGTATCTTTTATAACAATTCCACAGACATAGCTTCTAGGGCCCCACAAGAGACATGTCTGTTCCAAGAGTCACTGTACTTAGGGAAGCCCAGGGCTGGGCTTCCTATCAGGTATTTATAGTTCTCCCAGTTCAGATGCAGTTTACCAGTTAGGGGTCATTTCTGTCACAGGTAAAGCTGCCTAGCAACATAGTTGACATACTACTCTTTAGTAGGTTGTCAGGGGAACAGAACTAGAAAGTTAACCAGAGGTCAAATTCTCATACTGAAGGGGGAAAGGTTTTTGTTAATCCTTTACCCAACCATTATGCTAAGCAATTGCACAACAGACAGTCCACCTAGTTCCTATAAAATATAACCAGGGGAATTTCCTATTAAAATAAAGCCAACACCAACTAACTTTCCCTCTCTTGAAGAGGGTTCATTCTTTGTGCTTAGTTGCTTGTGATTAATATACAGTTTGCAAATTTTGCTGAGGTATGTGTAAGAGTTGAATAAATAGTCAAAATGATCCTGTCAAACTGTCATGTATCCTTTGGTGCTACTCCTAGTAGGCAGGTATATAGTATGACATATTACAGGGACATTGAATGGAAATTTCTGGGGATCCCATCAGTCACACTTGAGGGGAACCTATGTCCACCTAGCAACCACCAAACACTAGGCTCTTGGTAATGATGCCTCTTATTGCTACGTCATGTAGCGCTACTCTTGCCTGCTTCTGTTGCTAGTAGGTTATTTATTCAGCAGTTATTCAACAATTATTTATATAGTCCTTATTATGTATCAGGCACTAGGACACGTCAATGTAAAGCAGAATCTCTGCCCCTAAGGGACTTGCAGTGCATAATCAGGGAGACTAGCGATTAAGCAACATAGTTTTGGGCAAGACAATAGGGGCAAGGACAGGGTGCTCTGGAAGTGCTTGGGTAGAACGCCTGGCCCAGTTTTAGAGCCTTGGAGAAGGCTTTCTTGTCTGAGCTACTGCTATTGTGATCTTTCCTATCCTATAAACTTCTAGCTTTGGGGTACAATTTATATACAATTTAAACAGTCTCTGGCATTTCCTGCCTTTTCCAAATATGGTGGTTTTGGACATTAAGAGTATTTAAATTACTTGTTTTATTTAGGTATGTAAATTTACTATAAACATTTTAGAATATCCCAGTCTTCAGAAAATATGCATCAGATGCTATGGTTTTCTTATTAAAAACAAACAAATAACTTCCCATTATCTTGTCCAGTGTGATAAGATAGAACAAAGGTATTGTTATTGTGACAGATGTGGAGGAGCCCCACTGCATCTCGATTGGTCTTGGCTAGCCATGTAAACTAGTTAATACCCCAGAAACCGGGATAGATATGGGACCAGGACCGTTAAATCAAGGACTGAGAAATAGAAGGGATGTTAGAGATAGTGTAGTCCAACTCCATTTTACAGAGAGATGAAATGATTAGTTCCTAGTTCCCACACCTCTAGCTGGGATCAGATAATAGGTCCTGCCAGGCCAATGCTGATAACAAACATGTCTGGGCAAGCAGCAAAGAGCATCTGTCCATAGCATTTGTTTCCTTTGGGTACCCATCAGACTGAAGCCACAGAAAAGGAAAATGCTGTTTTAGCCTCATGTAGCTTTGTGTGATCATGGCCTGCATTCTTGTAATGCTTAGACAGGGAGGGGAGAAATCACATGTTGAGCATAGGGAGTTTATTTAATTTCTTTGCCAATAATATCCACACATACCTGAAACAACATAAACCACCATCAACACATACACACGGCAAATCAAAATCTTTATTGTCCACTTATTTAATATGCATCGTGTATTTGATTTTAAGATATTCATTGTGTTTGTAAAAACTTCCAAAATAAAAAAAAATACAACATTATCTTGAAATTACTTTTGCCAACCTATATAACTGATTTTTGAAATATAAATTGGGCATGATTCAGGGAAGTTGACACGGACGTTTTTATAGGAAACAAAAAACCACACATATTTAAGATAGTAACCCATATAATATTATGGTATTGAGTTTAAATACATTTTAGGTATTTCTTGATTCAGTAAATTTTAATAAATCTGCAAAAGGTAATTTAAAGATCTGTGATAATATATAACAGTTATTAGTAAAACAGATAAGTCACTTTATGATCTAAACATACCTAGAAAGAGTTTTTCTGGTTGTTAATGAAATATCAAGTTTGGGATTAAAATGAATGCAGATCATCTCTAATTCGGTTAAATCAGCTTTGAGGATAGACAGGAAATAGTCTCAAACTAAATTTTTGTTTGGGTTTATACAACTCAGATTGACACACCCTAGTAACAAATTTAGAATAGGAACAGCAGCCAGGTTTAAGAAAAAGTGTTCTGTTCCTTTATCGCTTATTTTGTCTTGAAAAACAAATGTAATTTAACTATTTTCTGTACCTTCCAGAATTTTAAAATTGACCTAAATTAGATAACTGCAAATTTTAGAATGGCTAAGGTCAAAATGGTTGAAACAGTTTGGAATGAATGAAACAAATTGAGGTTTGATCCCCTCATATAGATAATTCTTCATAATTTAAATTTAGTTAACTGTTTTTCTCAGTGTAATTATTTTACATGAACTTCTAATGAGGAATTTTACAAATAAGATATTAGTTAAGGGGGGAAAAAAGACAAGCTATTAAATAGAGCTCCAAACAAAAGAAGCTTCCATCAAACGTCTTTTCCTACCTCTCTGTCCAATGGTGTTAGGACCAATTACTTCCTTATGTGAGATGGTTTCTGGGCAGAGTATCCCAAGCCAGATTTTAGATTCTATTCAAGAAGGCTGACCACTGCTTGATAAATGGGTAATCATTCATGGGATGCAATATAAGCAAAAACTAATGGCAGACAACACAAAAACCAGAAAAGATACAACATGCTAAGCTCTGAGTTCTAGTCATACACTTTCCAATGGCTCTTAGAAGAAAATTAGTAACTGACTATCTTTGGCTGCCAAGTTTCCAAGTGGATAAGTTCTTCTCACTTTGTCAAAACTGCTATCAAAAAAAGAGAAGATAAAGTTGGAAGTGATCCTGAGACCATTAAAACAATAGCAACTGATACCTTTTTTAAGGAGTGGGAAACTTTCTGCTTTTTAGAACTGAGTTGGTCTTTATGTTACAGTTACTATGTACCAAGTCTGTTTATATGGTTCAGTGCTATCCAGGTTGTATGTTGTTTTGCTATTTTTACTTTTTATATATAAAGAACTAAAAATAAGAGAATAAAGTAATAAATTAGTGGGTATAATCTATATAATCTAGATCTGACTTCTCATTTCTGTTGTCTTATTCCATTTTTAATATAAATCTTTAAGACATACATGCTTATTTTTATTTTTATTTTTTAGAATAGTTTATTGATTTTTAGAGAGAGAGGAAGGGAGAAGAGAGAAACATTGATGTGAGAACATAACATTGATCAGCTGCCTCCTGCATGCCCCTTACGGGGATTGAGCTGCAACCTAGGCATGTGCCCTGACCAGGAATCGAACCAGCAACCTTTTGGTGCACGAGATGAAGCCCAACCAGCTGAGCCACACTGGCCAGGGCAACATGTGCATGCATATTTTTGTTTCAAATTTTTTTCTGCTTTAGCAGCAGTTTCAAATATTGATCTTTTTTTCTTAAG